TTTCATCTCTCACATTTTGCAAAAATATTCTCTTCATACCTCACTTTTAAAACGAATCAAATTCATCCCTGACATTTAAAAATTGAAACTATTACATCTTTGAACCCAAATTTCAATTTGAATCAAACCGTGCAGTAATAAATTTCAAACATAGAATTGATAGATCATCCGATCAAATCCATCATATTCACATGACATTCATTAGGCCAAAAGTGAAAAAAATTATAAAATAAAAGATCGTTCTTTGTGTTGGAATTGTAGGGTTTCTTTTTCTAATAAATCTTTTTATGCACCATTAGTATATACACTTGCGAGTCTATATGCATATCATATATACAAAATTTAGTGTTTGAATTTAAATTAAAATGATATGGTAGATATCTAGACTCGTTAGTGTACGTACACAATGATGATGTAGGAAAGTGTAATCCTTTTTTTTATGCAATAATTTTTTATTTTTCCTTTTTGAGTTCATTAAATTTCACATGAATATCAAGTTAAGTTAACCTGGTGATCTATGAATTATACTCCCGAAATTTGTAATCGGATTGTTGGGTGGTTGAATTTAGATTGAAAGTTGATTTTAGGGATCTAATAGTTTCGATTTTTAAATGTTAAGGATGAATTTGCTTAGTTTTAAAAATGAGAGATGGAAAGAATATTTTTGTGGAATATGAGGGACGAAACTAGTTATTTTCCCTTTTATAAAAAATTAGCAATTGACCTCAACTATGCTCCTATTTTCTCAGCTGGGCATCCCTCTAATTACCTTTATGAGAATAGAAAATTTCCATTGTCACAATCAAACGATGCGACGTTGTAACATTACGTTAAAAAACTTTTTAGTGACTGTTTGTTAAAGAGGAATACTAACTTGGGAATCCTGCAATAGGATATATATTCAATATTGATGGTCTTATGTGATAGAATAATTAGCCCAAAATTAGAGCCTTAAGTTTTCTTGTTAAGGTAAACATATTTAATAGCTTGAGTTTTTTTTTTTTTTTTAACGATACAATGCAAGTACAGGATATATGATACGGCTGTGTCTCAACCAAAAAAAAAAAAATCTAGCTACTTTATTTCTTCAACTGGAACAATCAGCCCAATAGCTAGTCTTGTTTATGGATATCAAAAGCAAGGTTAACCCAATGCATCATGAGTTTTACAGTCTATATAACAATCAATTTTGGAAAAAAAAATGAAGAATTATATAAATCATAAAAGTAGCAGTAACGCAGAAGATGATTAAAGATTAGTGAATTTCTTCATCCTAAGGGTGATAAAATTTTTGTGTATTCCCCAATCAAGTATAACAAAAGCAAAACATAGCCCTTCATTGATCCGAACTGCCCACAATTGCACAACTTTGCTAGCTTCAAGCCCATTGTTGGGCACAATATCTTTCCAGTCTCCATTTATTACATATGAGACACTAGTTTTGCCTCCTGGCTTCGGCATCTTCCACCTTGAAAAAGTCACAACTTTCACTATACCCGACGGCTCAATTATATCTACCATGATACGATTGTAGTAATGTTTCCCATCTAATTTAGAATCAAGGAACGCTTCTTCATCAGCACTGAGAAAGCTTTTATTCATCTTCTTTTCAGGAATGGAGAATCGATTTTGTTGGTTGTTAATATCACTTGCTGTGAGAGCCTTTTGTATCACCAAAATCGCCTTGTCTTTTTCATCAAATACTCCACCTTTTTCTCTGGCTCTCTTGCTGACAGGTGTCGGGCCTGTGCAATAATAAAAACCTGCTCAACTAAAGTTAATTTCTGTAGATAGTGGTAAGTAGGGTCGAATCCACAGGGATTGGGTGTAACTGTTTCTTTGCAAATTCACAGTAACAAAGGGGGTGTTTTTGTGCAGAAGGTGACAATCAAAGAAATTCAAATAAAATCTAGGAAGCTACTAAAAATTAAATAACAAATTACTAAAATAAAATGAGTGATAATTAAGGATCTAGCCAAGAAATAACTTCAACAATGGTTCACCTAATTGATCATCGATGCAAAGCCAATTCCAATTATTTACTAACAAATAGGTTATAACTGTCAAACAAGCGACGACAGTCAACCCCTCCTTACTGTGTCGATGATTAAGGTACGCCCGTTAATCACTGCCCTAATTGAGAGATAATCTTAGGTACGCCCGTAAGATTTAATTCCCCAATTGCCTTACGTATTAGAGGAGCCCTATTCTAACCAAATAACGCACTACCAGGGTTATTTTAGATTAACCCACGTATTCCCCTGACACGAATCTAATCGTGCTAGTTGTCACTATTTTGAGGTAATTAAACAATTACGGATTTAATACCTCAATTGACAATAGATTATTAAATTAACTAATTATCCAGATCCAAGACAATCAATTAATTAAATAATCATAAGCACTACAATGAAGGAATATGTGAATACCAATAAATAAAGAAAAAGATAAAATTAAATCGATCTCACAATTTTAGGTGATCCAAAGCATCCGTTGTTCATTGACTAGAGTGAAGAGATTAGTTCATGTTTAATGCGCGGAACCCACACAAAATTGAAGAGAGAGACGCAGCCATCAATTGAGAAAATGCCCAAGTTCAATTCGTTCGAAGGAGCAAAGAAAACGGAAATTGCAGCGGATGATTTAATGCGTTAACTTGTCTGCTCATACCAAGGAAGAAAAAGGAACTGCTACAAAAAACTAACAGGAAAAAGTCAAGTACTAAAGCTAAGCTCTCCTGCCATGCGTAAGAAAAGTAAAAAGCAATCCTCAAGGAAAAGTCAACAAGAATCCTCCAAAAACTCTCTGCCTTCTATTGCCTCATTCTTTTCCTTTTTATTTCGGCGGCACTTCAGCAGAACCAAACCCTTCAGTCGTCCTTTGCTCGCGGAATTTACCAAAATGGGCGTAACATCTTCTTTTCCAAAAATACCCCTGGGACAAGCTCTATCATCTGGACTCTTTTTCTGTCAAATTGGCACCTGTTATCATATTTTCGTTTTACTCCCTGAAATAAGTGCAAATTACGAAAAGTGAGTAGAATCTACTAATTAATCCACATCAGGTCAGGTAATATGGTAAATTAATAATAAAATAAATAATGAAATTACACCCTATCAATTCCCTCCACATCTAAACCATGCTTGCCCTCAAGCATAAGAAAAGTGGACAGACGCCAAAAGTTGACAGTGGTCATTACTCTTATCTACTACATTGCCAAAATACCAAGGAAAACCATATATCAAGTATTAGTGATCAAAATCCGAGAAACATCACCCCGGATAGCTTCTAAACCGCAAGCTCTTTCAATTCTAAGTTAACTAGTTTAAGAAAAAGGAATGGCGCACAACGTTGATCAGCAAATGGTCCAAATATTAACCAAAGTCTCTATATTAAGTCCATAAACCGGCAAGCTACCCAAAAATTGACAGTAACATAACCTGCACTTTTTCACGTTTTCTATTATTTATTCTCTCTTTTTTTTTCTCTTTGCTTATTTTTTTTTATAATAATAATAACACAAAAAGATTTAGTCTTTAGCCATTGGAACTTTTTGACGCGAACTCCAACATTTTTAGATGAAAGAACCCGGTTACTCAGCTCCCACCGCTATACGACTACGTACTCATAGAAAGTACTACCTTTTGACGCGAGAATCGACACATTTAGGTGCAGATCCCCGATTACTCAGTAGTAACTAATAGCGGAGTACAGTCAAACTTATTCACAGCCAAACAACGTAAAAAATGCAAAATAACAATACTAACAACCAAGCATAGGAGCAGCTCGCCTCATTATTGCCAAACATGGAGAACTGGAGTCAATATTGGACCAGTTCACATTAAAACGCCAACAATCATTCCCTATGCTTAGAAAAGTTAACAAAGGAATCAAAAGAGTCAAGCAGTCCGATATTCACCAAGGAGATATTTTGGACCCAACCACATTAACCCGATACATATATTATTATTATTTTTTTTTAAAAAAAAACTTGACAAAAGTAGAATTAGAGTCAATAAACCCACATCCCATTTTCGGCATTCACATGAGAGATAAGCACCAAGAAGAAAGAAAGAAAATGAGCAACTAGAAAAAAAAACTAAAAACTACGAAAAATTAAAAAGCACTAGCACCCCATTAGACCCCCCCATACCTATAGGACACATTGTCCTCAATGTGTCAAATAAACAGCAAAAGTGAGAGAGAAATCAACCAAACTTCCCTGAAACCGGGTCAAAGTGGAGGGTGAGGTGGTGCTGGGGGCGGGAAACCCGAGTGCTGCAGGCAGGCCGGCAGATTTTGTGCCATAGCCACCACATTGTTATCGATGTTAATAATCCGCGCGAGCTGTGGCCGGCGTGCGATCGAAATGGCAATGGGCAGCGAACAATGCGAGAGAGAGAGAGAAAGATGCGGCGGCGGGCGACGCAGAGGAAAGCAGAGGAGAAGAAAGGAAGAAAAGAGAAAGAAAGAAGAGAAAAGGAGAAAAGGGAAAATAAATTTTTTTTTTTTTTGAAGATAACTAAGCCACGGTGCAAAGGAAAGAAAATTTTTTTTTTTTTTTTTGTAATTTTGAATCCCGTACCTTTCCCGCGAACGTGACACGGGCACGTCATGAGGGCAGGAACCCCTTCTGACGATTCTGACCATGAGTTCTCCATATGTCATGACGCGGGCGCGTCATGAGGATCGAAACCCTTTTTGATGATTCTGATCGTAAGCTCTCTATTCGTCATGACGCGGGCGCGTCATGAGGATCGAAACCTTTTTTAATGGTTCTGATTGTGAGCTCTCTATACGTCATGATGCGGGCGCGTCATGATAGAAGGACACCTACAAATCAGTAAAAACGAAAATTGAAACCCAAAATCAGTCAAATTCAAGAAAAACATATTTAAACTATCACACGAAATCAAACAAACAATTAAAAGAAATGATTGGGTTGCCTCCCAATGAGCGCCTTTCTTTAATGTCTTTGGTTAGACATTGAACACCACTCTTCAATCTGGGTGTAACTCAATTTTCCTGAAAATCGGTGGCCCTCCTCCAGGATCCAAATAGCCTTTGAGTGCAGACTTCTTTCTTAATTTCCTACTCCTTTTCACCTCATATAGTGTTTTCATCCCTTTATACTTGTTCTCAATAAACTTGAATTTGTCCCTACAAGCAAACTCAGAAAATTCTTGCACAGAGGGATTAATAGCATAAATAGCAAACACAAGGTGAGAGTTAATAGGATGTTCCATTGTATCAAAAATATTAAAGTGGATTAGTTCTCCATCAAATTTCATGGACAATGTACCCTTATTAACGTTAATTTTTGTCTGTACTGTGCTCAAAAAGGGTCTACCTAGTAGCAAAGGTGAGGGGTCAGGGGAATGATCATCATCCATGTCAAGTACATAAAAGTCAGCCAGAAATATCAATTCATTAACTTTAACCAGCACATCCTCTATCAACCCATCAGGGTATGCATTTGTTCGGTCAGCAAATTGAATTATTATTTCGGTTTCTTTTAATGGACCGAGGTTCAGAGAAGCATACATAGATTTAGACATTACGTTGATCGATGCTTCTAAATCCAGCAGGGTATTCCTAATCAGAGTATTACCTATCTTACATGGGACAGTAAACCTACCTGGATCCCCGCATTTTGGTGGAAGCTTCCTTTGGAGAACTGCTGACACATTCTCCCCAACAATGATCCTTTCGTCTCCCCTCAACCGCTTTCGGTTGACACATAGGTCCCTCAAAAATTTTGCATACTTCGGCACTTGTTTGATAGCATCTAATAAGGGGATATTGATATCTACCTTGCGGAACACCTCTAGAATCTCTTTCTCTTTGTCCTGCTTCTTCGGTTTCTCCAACCTGCAAGGAAATGGAGGGGGATCAGTTTTAACGTCTATGATCGGGTCAAGGAGTATCACTGGATTTTTGGTACTTGTATTCTCTGCCTGAAGTTCTTTCTCAATATTCTCTTTGTCCTTATCCTTTGGAGTCACGAATTTGGACCCTTGAATTTCCTTCCCGCTCCTTAAAGTCATTGCACTTACGTTCTTCAGGTTCAGTTCAGGTTCGGATCGCAATCTTCCATTTACTTGGGACTCCAAACGGTTGATTTTTGTGGCCATTTGACTCATCTGATTTCTTATATCCTGCATTTCGGAGTCCGTCCTTTGCTGATTTTGCGTAATAGTTGCCATCAGTTATTTCATCATCTCCTCCAAAGATGGACCAGAGCTTGGGGGCGGAGGTGGTCGGGGTTGGTACTGCTGCTGGTACCCTGGTTGCTTATTTGGCACGAAATTAGACTGCCTGTTCCCTCCATAGCTGAGGTTGGGGGTCCCTCCAACCAGGGTTGTAGGTACTTGAATAAGGGTCATAGGGCTTTCTTGGCGCAGGCGCGTGACCAGTCATGTTCACTTGCTCTGCACTTTTTTCTTGAATCATTGGGCGCATGTCTGTAAAATGACCCATACTAGTGCAAATCCCGCACACCTTGGCCTGAGATGCATTTTCTACAGCCAGTTGCCTAACAAACGAGGTCAACTCAGTTAGCTGCTGCTGAATAGAGGATGTCTCTACCTCATTCGTCTTGCGTATTGGGACATCCTCCCTCGTACCGAATTATTGTGAATTCTCTGTCATCCCCTCTATTAACTCCCGTGCTTCCCGAGGGATTTTGTTCACCAGTGCCCCTCCACTTGCAGCATCAATTATGCTCCTGTCTCTGAAAAGGAGCCCCTCATAAAAATAATGTATGAGCAACTGCTCACTTATTTGATGCTGGGGCACTTGCTGCACAACTTCTTGAACCGCTCCCAATACTCGTAGAGTGACTCCCCTGGGTGCTGCTTGATCCCGCAAATTTCTTTCCTTAGACTTGCAGCCTTGGACGCAGGAAAATATTTATCTAAAAATTTTTTCTTCAATTGGTCCCACATGGTGATGCTACCTGGTGGCAGGTAGTACAGCCAGTTCTTTGCAGAATCCTTTAAGGAAAAAGGAAATCCCCTCATTTTTATTTGCTCTTCTGTGAATCCAGGGGGCTTCATACTATTGCACACGATATCAAATTCTTGCAAATGCTTATACGGTTATTCACCTGGTAAACCATGAAAAGAGAGTAAAAGATGAATCAGTCCAGATTTTAGTTCAAATGGAGTGTTATCATTTAAGGTGGGGAAGGTAATGCATAAAGACTGCTGATTTAAATCAGGAGCAGCCAACTCCCTTAATGTTCCTGCATTAGCCATGGTTTCTTCCTCTTGGTCAGAGTCACTCGAAGTGTCTCCAAACGAATCTGTTAGTTCAACTTCTAACTCAGGTCTCTGAGATGTAGCACTGGAGTGCTCCGCTCTGAGCTGTCTGGTCTTTTTTCTTGTCCTACGCGTAGTCTTCTCTACTTTAGGGTCAAAAATCAAATCACCTGTACGAGAAGACCGAGGCATACACTAGAAAAATACCAGAAGATCAGAGCAAAAGAAAAAATGAATTTAAAAAGAAACAAATAGTAACGCCAGTCCCCGGCAACGGCGCCAAAAATTGACAGGTGTCGGGTCTGTGCAATAATAAAAACCTGCTCAACTAAAGTTAATTTCTGTAGATAGTGGTAAGTAGGGTCGAATCCACAGGGATTGGGTGTAACTGTTTCTTTGCAAATTCACAGTAACAAAGTGGGTGTTTTTGTGCAGAAGGTGACAATCAAAGAAATTCAAATAAAATCTAGGAAGCTACTAAAAATTAAATAACAAATTACTAAAATAAAATGAGTGATAATTAAGGATCTAGCCAAGAAATAACTTCAACAATGGTTCACCTAATTGATCATCGATGCAAAGCCAATTCCAATTATTTACTAACAAATAGGTTACAACTGTCAAACAAGCGACGACAGTCAACCCCTCCTTACTGTGTCGATGATTAAGGTACGCCCGTTAATCACTGCCCTAATTGAGAGATAATCTTAGGTACGCCCGTAAGATTTAATTCCCCAATTGCCTTACATATTAGAGGAGCCCTATTCTAACCAAATAACGCACTACCAGGGTTATTTTAGATTAACCCACGTATCCCCCTGACACGAATCTAATTGTGCTAGTTGTCACTATTTTGAGGTAATTAAACAATTACGAATTTAATACCTCAATTGACAATAGATTATTAAATTAACTAATTATTCAGATCCAAGACAATCAATTAATTAAATAATCATAAGCACTACAATGAAGGAATATGCGAATACCAATAAATAAAGAAAAAGATAAAATTAAATCGATCTCACAATTTTAGGTGACCCAAAGCATCCGTTGTTCCTTGACTAGAGTGAAGAGATTAGTTCATGTTTAATGCGAGGAACCCACACAAAATTGAAGAGAGAGACGCAGCCATCAATTGAGAAAATGCCCAAGTTCAATTCATTCAAAGGAGCAAAGAAAACGGAAATTGCAACGGATGATTTAATGCGTTAACTTGTCTGCTCATACCAAGGAAGAAAAAGGAACTACTACAAAAAACTAACAGGAAAAAGTCAAGTACTAAAGCTAAGCTCTCCTGCCATGCGTAAGAAAAGTAAAAAGCAATCCTCAAGGAAAAGTCAACAAGAATCCTCCAAAAACTCTCTGCCTTCTATTGCCTCCTTCTTTTCCTTTTTATTTCGGCGGCACTTCAGCAGAACCAAACCCTTCAACCGTCCTTTGCTCGCTGAATTTACCAAAATGGGCGTAACATCTTCTTTTCCAAAAATACCCCTGAGACAAGCTCTATCATCTGGACTCTTTTTCTGTCAAATTGGCACCTGTTATCATATTTTCGTTTTATTCCCTGAAATAAGTGCAAATTACGAAAAGTGAGTAGAATCTACTAATTAATTCACATCAGGTCAGGTAATAGGGTAAATTAATAATAAAATAAATAGTGAAATTACACCCTATCACTTGCAAATTTGTTCCTTGACTTCCTCTGGCAATCCTGGTTCAGGAAATGGACCCTCATCATAAACACGGTTCCTGCTCTTAACACTCTTCTTATCCAATCTCTCCTCTTGTTTCTTGTTTATTTTTCCAGTGAAAAAACCATCACCATCTTCCCTCTTCTCGTAAATTTTGATGCTTTTTTCACCTTGATAAAGTTCATCATCATCAGCTTCTTCATCGCTGCTTTCAACAGGTTGCTTCCAGGACCCTCCTCTTATTGAAACCTCAGTCTCGTCACAAACAACTTCCTCAATCTTCTTATTCCTGCTATTCAATCCCTCATTAAAACCCTCCTTCAAGCTTCTTTCCCTTATCAAAATCCCATTATTAGAACCTTCTCGCTTACGTTTCTTGATGCTTTTTTGGCCTTCGTAAAATTCATCATCATCAGATTATTCACCCTTACATTCCAGTGTTTTAACAAAGAATCTTTTTCCTTTCGAAAGCCCATTACTAGAATCCTCATACTCGCTGGTTTTCTCCACTACTTGCTTATTAACTTTCACCTCACCATCATAAACCATGGGTTTCCCCAATAATCTTTCTGTCCTTCAATTCTCATCGCGATGGGCTGGCTGGGCATCATCAAAATCAGTTCCATTATCCAACTTCTCCTTGGGATATTCCACAAAACGCCCCTCTGGAATATTCCTTATGACACAACAGACTTCTCTGGGGGTTCTCTTATGCTTACATATATATTTAATGTTGTCTGGGCAATGATCCATCTCGGGCACTAGAGGAACTTTCTTTCTCTCTTCTTCATCTAGCCTAATTTTTTCTTCAGTTGCAAGTTTTCCTAAGCAATCAATGAAGAACACTGTTCGTGGTTAAGCAAGATTGATGAAACAACGTAGATACTTGAGTTGCAATCTTCTGAATTTTGATGTTGGGAAAACAACGTATACTAATTCTCCTAGTTAGTTGTTATAATTGTTCTGGGATTGGAAGAGCCTGGTTTTAGAAACTCTAGTATTGTTTTAGGAATAGGAATTCCTAGTTTCTAAAAGTTGTCGGATTCTTGTAGAAGATAGCTTTAAGGCATTAAAAAAAAAAGAAAATTCATTTTGCCAGTTTACCAATAATGTAGTTTTAGTTTTTTAAAAAAATTGTATTGCCGGTTTACCAAAATTTTTTTAATTTTTTTACAAATAATTAGTTCAATGTCACAAATTTCTAAGAACAAATTTTTACGAATTTTTGTCTTCTTGAATGTTTGAAATTGGCAATTGAATTGATTTCAAAATTTCTTCATTTTATTTTTTTGACATACAACAACAAAGAAAAACAGATTTTTTTGGAGTAATGGATAAGTGAGAACAATTTTATTTACTAATAATTTCTTTTAAATAAAAGTTCTTAATTATCTACTACAAAGGAATTAGGGGGCAGGGAAATAGCTTATTAGTCTTAGAAATTTACTTCCAAAATTTTAAAAATATCACTTACTTCCCCTATAAATTATCCTGTAACCCTTTTAGCCCATTTCGTGGCAACTGTGGCCCTCGTTTTAGAGCTGCGTCAGGGCAAAGCGGCACTTTCCAAGTTCTATATTGCAACAGTCCAATGTTAACGTTAAATTACAAGGTCAGTCGAACAACATATTTATAACCTGATCGCTTGGCAAAAACCTAAAATCCTGTAACAAAACGCCGAAGCCAAATCCTTCTCTTTTTTTCATCTCCAATCACTGAAATTCAGGGTTCGCCCCCTTCTGCAAAGTTTCAGATGAGCAAAGATTTGGTTTATCTTTGCACGATCTTGAAATCAAAAGATGGAAAAGTACGAAAAAAATGAAGAAAGTTGGGTCTGGTGAGGTGCTTGCAATTAAAAAGATCAAGAAGAAGTATCGTTCAGAAGAGCTTAGATTGTGAAGCTGAAGGACGTTATTACAGAGCATGACACACTCTACTGTGTTTGAATCTATGTTTTGAAACTCGGACCTGCTATCGGCTCGGTCGAGGTCAGGCGTTAGGGGTCAATGGGTTTGACCCGGATGATATCATAAATATATTTAATTTTAAAAATTAATATATTATGTAAATTTTCTAAAAACATATTAATACTAAGAAATGCATGTTCAATTTATATTTGATATATCTAAGATACTTTACAAGAAAATACAAATAAAGTAGTATAATTAAGTAACAATTTATGCAATTTACAGTTTAGTGCATATTCAATAGGTTTAGAACCAAATTGGAGGGCTTATTTGAAAAGTAATACAA